ATGCCTGAAAACTTCTTTTGTGAAACGTCTCCCTAAATTTATATCAAAAGCATAACATTTCATATGTCGTTTTACAGACCAGAGTCATTTTTGTACTCCGTTTATTATGCCAAACTTTACAAGAATATATATATATATTTTTTTTCTTGGGGGTGGATGGGGTCAGGGCTCAAAAGGGTCAAGCAATACCCCCTTTACTGTTTCCGGCATTGAACACCTGTCAACAATTTATTCTAAAAAATTGGAACACACGAGTATGAGTGAGGTGCCACTTTTACCAAGCCTTGCTGCAACACGTGGCCTTCGATCTGCTTCCAGCTCCAACAACTGGTAAGCAAAGTTAGGCTATTGATTGCAATGGTGAACACAGGAAAGAGATACACCTGTCAAACACAGTCTTAATATAACCCGATCTTTATCCTTTATATGTTTTATCAAATGTTTCATGTGGCTCAATAAGAATTTATCTCCAACGCTGTAACTGATTACAAATTAATATTTGAAGTGGGTCTTATGATGCAGTAAATATCTTTGTACGATAAGGACAACAGCTTATGTATTGTTTGATACGATAAAGACAACAGCATATGTATTGTTGGATGTGTAAATAGGAAAACCCTTCGACCTCAATAAGATAAGAAGCTATTTTCGCAGGCCGTCATAGTGGTTTATTAATTACGCTCTATAATTAATTGATTTCCGAAATTGGACGTTTGATCTGGGTTGTTTGATCTATTTACAGAGAACCTTTCGACCCCAATAAGATAAGTGATTAAGTTCACAGGCTGCCCTCTGTGACCGATGTCACGCGATTCATGGTACGTAAAACTTCGTCATTCTCCACGTGCACGGTGTCATGAATCCTTATGAGTCTTAAGATTTAGTAAATATCTTTGTACGATAAAAACAGCATATGTATTGTTTGATACGATAAAGACAACAGCATATGTTTTGCTGCATTTCTAACTTTATAAGATAAAAAACTGATTTTGCAGACCGCCTTATGTGGTTTATTGACTACGCTTTTTGATTAATTAAATTCCGAAATAGGACGTTCAGTGCCTGATTCTGACTTCGGGTAATCGTTCGTATTGTTTAGAAATTAAAATTTAAAGTAAATAGCGGGTTTTAAAACATAATGCCAACTTGATGCATTTAAACCCAACCCTTTTATATACTGTAACTACCAAAGCACAGTAAAGGCACAGTGTAGAATGCGATACGACAGCAAAGTAAAAAAGAAACTGTTCCCTAATATCCTCTCAAATTGCCGCACCACCTCTCAAATTGCCGCACTTACTCCCAATCAATGCTATGGAATCCAGTCGACCGATATATTTTCACAGAAGGGATAAATCTGTTGATAAAGTTTAGACTGCTAGAATAAAATAGCCTGATTTAAAACATTTGTCAAAGAGCGTTTCACGAACGTCTGTACGGCTTACGGCAAGCTCGGTTGCTGTGTTTTAAGAACCATGTAACGTTTTAGACTGCCGCTCAGAAGGCTATTGACCTAAAAGCTATAAATAGAAACTTCAGGAAACTTGCCCCCCCCCTCTTTAATTTTAATCAAAAGCATAACAAGTCATTATTATGATATTTTTTACAGAGCAAAGTCATTTTTGTAATCCGTTTTTAATGTCAAGCAAACAAGAATATTTTATTTCTTTTTAGTGGGTGTGGGTGAGGGCATGGCTCTGAACGGTCAAGCAATATCTCCCTAAATGTTTTTACCACTGTATACATGTAAACAATTTATTCTTGAAAATAGGAACACACGAGGAAAGTATGAGTGAAGTGCTACACATTACAAGAATTGTCGCAACACGTAGCATTCGATCTGCTTCAGGGCTCAACCAACAGGTGAGCAAAGTAAAGCGATTGATTGCAATGCATGGTGAATACAGGGAAGTGGCACTCCTGTCAGATACGGTATTAATATAACCCTAAATCCGCCACTGGTTCGGAAAACCTTGTGAGTACTCTTTCTCCTATTGTTTATGAATATTTCAGCCTCTCCTCTCCATAAAGGAAGTGGTATAGTCCTGAGGCTGGAGTGTCTGTGGTCTATGCAGTTACTTAACAGAAAGGTATTAAATTTAGTTTCGGGCCCAGACAGTCAAGGATAGAATGTGTCATGGTTTGATATCACTGGTGATACACCTCTATACTCTCTATTGTCAGGGCTGCTGTCAGTACCTGTTTCTGGGGTTCCTTTGGGAGCGAAAAAGGGTCTTAATATTCTCAATAAAATGCTTTTGGCAACTTGACAGTTTTTAATTTTACATAGGGCGACTTTTTCATTTTAACACAAACGCCGTCTTTAATATGTTAAATTGAACAGGTCGCGCTTTGCCTCGTGTTCTTCTCTTCAGAAAATTTAAAGTCAGCGCAAATGCAGTGAAATTTATTCGATCGATTATGTTATTCGTAAGCACTCCCTTTAATGCAAAAACATCATAAGTATTCACATGGTCTAGGGTTGTTATCACAAACCAGATACAAGCCACATTGATTCATTTCGTGCACAATTTATTGCAGTACTGTCATTGCGTGCGCTGTCTTGCTCTTGTTTACAATTGATTACAATTTGGAAGCGATGAATGTCAGTCAGCGAGTCTATATATATATATATATATATATAGAGAGAGAGAGAGAGAGAGAGAGAGAGAGAGAGACTGTGCAACCCCACATCGAGCTCGCAGAATCACTGTTTTTCCTCGAAACCAATGGGTTCAGCAACTGTCCTGGCCTGCAAACTCCCCAGATATGAACCCAATTGAAAATCTGTGGGCGGAAGTAACTCACAGAATTAATAGCTATGGTCATCGGCCGGTAAATAGTGATGAACTGCGACAGGCAAATATCACCGCGTGGAATGATATCGCCATCCTCTTAAAAACCTTTCACAGGGTATGCCATATAGAATGAGGGCATTGCAAGCGGCTGCTGGAGGTCATACCCGCTATTGATGACTTTTCATGATTTACTGTAATGAGTTCTTTTACTGTGTAACATATCACTGTCGGGAGGCTATCATTTTCTTTAATATCTTAGCTTAAAATTATACTGACATCAAACTGTTGATATGGTTTTCTGGGGGTGTTCTTTTCTTTTGAATGACATCTTAAGTCACATTTGATATTATTGACCAAAATAGAAGACTGGATATTCTTAAAACTCAATGACATACTTTTTTGATGATTCAAGCCAAAAAAACTTTAATCAGCACTCAAAAATAACAATGATAAAAAATATTCCATATTAAGTAGTAACCCTGTATATATAAGACGATAGAATTTGAAATTTTGCATATAGGCGGTCGGTATTGCAGTGCGTAAAATAAGTTTAGTGTTTTCTGAAATTGTTAATCTGTGCCAGAATGGAGCGAAAAAGACAGGCATTGTCAGACAGATTATTGTGTCAATAACGTTAAGTATTACTAAATACTTAACGTTATTTTTGGACAATGTATTTTTAAATATTTGTGTGATGTGTTTGCCCATAGATCTTATCTTAATAGATGTAATCTCGGTTTCTTCGGAGAGGTTTCCTTCTACCAATATTCCTAATAATACGCAAGTTATTATAAAGGGAAAAGCGACGTACAACATTGCAGCATTTCGGTGATTTTTTATCTATTCGAATACTGCCCGCTTCCTCCACATTCCTGGGATGATTGGCACATAGACTGGTTAAACCACGTGCATGTGCATGTGAGTGTCTTTATCAACTTCCTTCCCAGACATCTGGTAAATTTTGGATTCGTATAACCTACATGTATGCATCACCCTGGCCGAGATGGCCAGGAATTCCCACCGCGGTGAAAATTATTTTCCACCGCGGTGAAAATTAATTCCCACCGCGGTGTAAATTAATTTTCACCGCGGTAGAAATAATTTTCACCGCGGTGAAAATTCCTTAAAATAAAACTTAAATGAAAATAAAAAAAGTTAATATGATACTAACAAAGCTCCGTAGTATAGGGCTACTTCACTTCGTTCTTCAACAGCGATTATTTATTTGTGTATTTATTTCGCTCAAAATTTGTTTTAACCGAAGATTATTGCTAACTATAGGCTTTTTCTTCACGCAGTGTTAGTTGAATCATTGAATTATAAATATGAAAAAGCAGTGTTTAAAGCAATAAGTAGTCAGCTTTGTCACAGTCTTCACTGAAATGTGAAATTTTATTTTTTCGCTGTCCCTGGGCGATTTTAAGAACCACTAAAGAAGTTAAATGCACCATAGTTACTGGGTTTCTTTAATTATGTTGCAATAAAAGTTAATCGCCAGTCGCATCTCATTCCGCCCTCTTCCGTTTTCCTCCCAAAAAGTGAATCCGGTTTTTGAGCGCCAGAATCATTTATCTATAGCTTCTATGGTTATCATAATCTTTTTTGAAAGAGTAAATTAGTTTCTGGATGTCAGGTTCGTTTCTTTTATTTTCATTTTTATTTTATTTTTCTGTAAGCTACTTGGTAGCGGTAGACGCTTATCTCCGGTGCATAACACACCGTCCACTCCTGTTTCCTCCTGCAAAAACGTTTCTAGTTTCTCAGCGTCAAATTAGTTTTTGAAAATAAGACAATAGTATCTGGTTGCCAGAAACGATTTTGAAAAACGTAACTAGTTTCAATATGACAGGTTCGTTTTTCGAAAATGAAAAACGACATTGGTTTGTTGATACTAAAATAGTTATATGATTGACGACACTGCATATGCTTTCTGTGCAGCAGAATAATTTTTTTGAAATATTTAATAAAACTAAAATTCATACCCCAAACACTTAGGAAATAGCCCCAGGGACCTCAAGATATCCTTTCCCGACCTAGTGCAGATGACTTGCCTTGAAGGCCATTCCCTAAACCCCTCCACCCTCCTAAAAACGTACACACAAGAATTATTTTAGTAACTTAGTATAGTAATCTTAATTTACCACTTTGCAATAAGCAGAAAAAACATATACTCATTTGTTGCACAAAGGTTTATTCGTGCAATCCTTATTTTTTAATCACAAGACTTTTTCTTATCTTATCATGTCGCATTCCAATCCTAGTTTCTGTTTTTTCCACAACTTAACATTCTAAGGTATTTTTCAATTATTAACATTCGCTTCTTTAGTAATGGTGGGGTGTTTACGCTCTTAAATAATATCTCTTATTCTTCTTCCATAACTCTTCATTAAAAGCGATTAATAAGCGGTCATTCAGATTGTTGTAATTGCCTAAGGGGGCAATGATGTGATGATTGACCTAAGTTCTCAATCCGTATTCATGCATATTTTACTTCATCTCATCATAAAAAATTGTCTAATCTTTCTGTTGCTATCTTTTACTTCCTGTTAGTCGCACTGTTAGCCTTATTTACATTCTTTGGCTCATTGTAATAAGACTCAAAGTCATTGACTGCTTATCCATTTCATTAAAACAAAATAATAGTAATTCATTTTTTTAAAAGATATAAGTGTCAAAATCGTTTTTGAAAAACGATACTAGTTTCGAACTGCAAAGTTCCTTCTTTAAAAACTGTATGTGCGGTAAATGTTTTCTTGAGTTCATGAAGTTAAGAAAAAACATGTGCCCTACACAGAGACCAAATAAACATTATACCGCACAATATTGGGATTGATATAAGGGTAGAATGTATGCTTATCTTATGCAAAAACACAAAGTCTTATAGTGGTGTGTCGATCCCCATACAAAACACCACTATACAAAAGCTGGCATAGGATTATAACTGATATAGCTTTTCAAGATAAAATACATTTTATGTGTTAGCAAAGAATATTCACTGCAACTGCAAACGTTATTATGCAAAACTATTTTGATCCTCTAGAGTACATGTAATTGGCTCAAATATTTTCACTGGAAAAAACATCTTAACAATTACTTTATAACACACACTCACACACACACACACACACACACACACACACACATATAGATTGAGACGAATTCAAAGATGAATCATCATTAAACAAGTACATGACATGCTCTTTGTATGAATATGTGATTACCCTATGCAAAATCTAGGCAAATAAACCGACAAACTAGTTTCGAACTGCAAAGTTCCTTCTTTAAAAACTGTATGAGCGGTAAATGTTTTCTCGAGTTCATGAAGTTAAGAAAAAAACATGTGCCTAACACAGAGACCAAATAAACATTATACCGCTCAATATTGCGATTGATATAAGGGTAGGATGTATGCTTATCTTATGCAAAAACACAAAGTCTTATAGTGGTGTGTCGATCCCCATACAAAACACCACTATACAAAAGCTGGCATAGTATTATAACTGATATAGCTTTTCTAGATAAAATACATTTTATGTGTGTTACCAAAGAATATTCACTGCAACTGCAAATGTTATTATGTAAAACTATTTTGATCCTCTAGAGTACATGTAATTGGCTCAAATATTTTCACTGGAAAAAACATCTTAACAATTACTTTATAACACACACTCACACACACACACACACACACACACACACACATATAGATTAAGACGAATTCAAAGATGAATCATCATTAGACAAGTACACAAGTACATGACATGCTTTTTGTATGAATATGTGATTACCCTACGCAAAACCTAGGCAATTAAACCAACAGCTACCTGTACATTGCATGCCCACTTTAATAAACATCACATTTTAAGATAAATTTGGCACTTCTTAATTAATATATAACCAATTAATAAAAAAATACGGTCACTTGATAAACCGTTCCAGAAAAAGCATTTACATGTTTGATGACAGTTAACATCATCACACAGCACTTTCTTTTCGGTTCAGTAAATCCTTTATTCTACGCATCCGATCTTTGCAGTCTTTTATGGCTATATCCCCGGAGAGAGAGGTCCTCATGGTCTTCTCCCAATATGCCTCCAAGGTCGGGTCCATTTTACCAGTTTCAAACTCCAGGGGGAAGTTGCCCTGCCTGATGCCGGCACTGAAGACTCTAACTGTAAGATTTCTGTGAACTTTGTATACGTGTCCATTATGCCATATCTCCCACATCATGAGCCCAAGGGCGTAGATGTTGCAATCTGCATCGTAAGGTTTGGTGCCATCGAGGACGCTGTAGGGGAGATAAACCATAGACCCTATGCTGGAGTTGGGATCTGGGGGTGACATCGTGACAGGCTTGCTTATGTTCACTAGCTTCACGGTTTTATCCCTCCCAGCCTATAAAAAAAATTATAATGGACCGTTAAGAATGAATTCGGTCGCAACAGCTTATGAGCCCCCCCCCCAAACAATCCCCACCCGGACGACCCCACTGCCATCCAAAGAACATATTTTTTATATACAAACATAATGTAAAGAGTATAAAGTTCAAAACATTTCATCCATTACATTTATATTTTAACTTCATCGTTAAACAAATTATTTTATAACAATTCTCTTTTTTATTGAGTACAAGTAGAGAAAGTATTATTAAATATTTAATCAAAGTATAACCACCTATTCTCCAGGTAAAGGTGGGGTAAACATATGAACAGGTTAACATATTTTAAAGTTTATATTTTTAGTATGGTGGGAAGTGAGTGGGTGGATAGAAGTCAAGCAATTAAAAGTGACAGATAATCAAAGGGATACCTGTATGAGTGAGAGAATCTGTTTACCCCACCTCTCCCTAGAGATGCACCTTGATTCAAGGCTTACTTAATCCGGGGGAGGGGTTTAATTAAGCAATAAAAAGTAACACTTAATTCATCAAAAGGTTACCTAGATGTGTGAGGATTACCTGGATTTGTTTACCCCACTTTACCTGGAGATATACTTTGATTAGATTTTTAATAAAATTTTCTGTACTTGTACTACATTAAAATAATTTGTTTAATGAATTTAATATTCTCTATCTTTGAGTTGTACCATCACACTAAAAATATTCATACAATAGATGTATAGATTTGAGCTTTATACTCTTTATACTCTTCATACTTTATATTTGAATATAAATATATATTCTTCGGGGGGAATCGTCCAGGGGGAATTGTCCGGGGGGAGGGATTGTCCTGATACCCATACACCATACTTTGTACAGGCTGTGGGTTCGAGACTGTACATCTGTTCCTTGTAATGCTTTTTGCGCTCTATGTCAAAAAGGAACAAAATCAAACTAAATAACAAGAGAAAAGAGAATTCAAGATCAAATTATATATGTATATATATATATATACATATGGTTACTACTTAATATGGAATATTTTTTATCATTGTTATTTTTGAGGGCTGATTAAATATTTTTTGGCTTGATGCATCAAAAAAGTATGTCATCTTCTATTATGAGATATTTTGGTCAATTATATCAAATGTGACATAAGATGTCATTCAAGAGAAAAGAAAACCCCCAGAAAACCATGTCAACAGTTTGATGTCAGTATTAATTTTAAGCTTAATTATTAAAGAAATTGATAGCCTTCCGACAGTGATATGTTACACAGTAAAAGAACTCATTACAGTAAATCATGAAAAGTCATCAATAGTGGGTATGACCTCCAGCAGCCGCTTGCAGCGCCCTCATTCTATATGGCATACCCTGTGAAAGGTTTTTAAGAGTTTTGATGTCAAGTTTCAGAGCGATCTCTTTGTTGCCTCTCTAAATATACACTCCAAAGATTGGCCAAACCCATACGTTTTTATACAAGGGCCGAAAAGACCACCCCTCACCTTTATGACCACAGAACATGCAACTGCATGCATCAGTTGTTTAGACATCTGAGTGGTAATTAGGTAACACACCTTGATACTCATGGGGTGACACCCCAGTTTTGGATTTAAAGTAGTAAGAGAGAAAATAAATATTTTTTAAATTTTTCTCGCCAAAAAATAATATTCCATATTAAGTAGAAACCCTGTAGATGTGATTCTAGGACAATCCCCCCCCCCGGACAATCCCCTCCCCAAAGAAATATATACTTATATACAAATATTAAATAGAAAGTGTAAAGTTTAAAACATTTCATCCAATTTTTTAATATTTTTAGTGTGATAATACAACTCCATCATGAAACAAATTATTTTATAACAAATTCCCTTTTCATTGAGTACAAGCTTAAGTACAGGAAGATTTATTAAATATCTAAGTATAACCACCTATCCTTCAGGTAAAAGTGGGCCAAACAGATAAACAGCTATACAGATATTTTATGAATATTTTAGTGTGGTGGGTGGTAGGTGGTGGTCAAGCAAATAAAGGTGACAAATAGTCAAAGGAATACCTGGATAAGCGAGAAAATCTGTTTATCCCACATCCCCCTAGAGATACACCTTGAGACTAACTCAATCAAGGGGGGAGTAATAAAGCAATTAAAACTAACAGTTATTCATCAAAGGGGATAGACCCCCTTTACACTGGACGGCGTCCTTTCTGCGTCCTTTGTGCGTCCATGAAACTGGTCAGGACGCCGTCGTACGCTCAAAGAACACACAGTGATCGCCTAGGTCGCACAAAGAACGTCCAAGCATCGCCGAGGACGCCATGGACGCCGCGAAGTTTTGAGCCGTAGTCGCCGTAGTCGCAGAGAGGACGCACAAGCATCGCCGCGGTCGTAGAAAGGAGGCACAAGCATCGCCTAAGTTGCAGAATGAAAACTCAAAGATCGTCTAGTGTTCGGCACGTAAATCATTTTTTCACTCTCAAACGATGCCGTGCTGAGGTTTTTTCACCAGACAGGAATTCTCATGGCAACAGTGGTCTCATATCAGCCTCTGATTGTTTTTTTCCCTAAATTTCATGAAACGATCCATTTTTTAAAGCTTATTATTAAACAAATATTTTGCCTTTTTTACAAGATGCATTAATTGTCAAAACTTTTTTGCAGAATGCGTCTTTTGAAAACGGGTTCAAATATTCTATGTTGTGTCAGTCACACTTTCTCGTTTTCGGCGCCTGTCCATCCTTCATATAAGGATAACGATGAGCATCTGGCTGATTATCACACCTGGCATGACTATAGTTAAAAGCAATTATTCCCATTTATTTGTTTTGTGTGCTGGAAATATTCTTTATTGGATGACCTGGTTAGAACCGATTTAGAATATAGAGAAGGTCAAGCAGGATGCAGAATGATCGTAGAATAGACGCCACTGATCGCCGATGAAGGTACAGAGAACGCAGCCAGAATGCTCAATAGTCGCTCAAACATCGCAATGGACGCCTTGGGTTGCACAGGGGACGTACAGTGGAGGCAGACAGGTTGCTCGCAGTTTTACAGGTAAAATCAAGATACGGTCGTTCAAAGGACGCACAAGTGACGCAGACGCCTTTACACTGAGACACGATTTAATTGCTTTGGCGACCGTTGAGCGTCCTGATCACATTTTTGAACGCAGAAGGGACGCAGAAAGGATGCCGTCCAGTGTAAAGGGGCCCTTACCTGGTTGAGTGAGATCATCTGTTTACCCCTCCTTTACCTGGACATATATTTTGATTATATTTTTCATAAAATGTTCTGTACTTCTATCTCAAAAAATTTATGTACTTGCACTCCGTGAAAATAATTTGTTTAATAAAATTAATATTATCTATCCTTGAGTTGCATCATCACACTAAGAAATATTCAGAAAATGGATGAAAAGATTTGAACATTGTATTCTTTACATTATATTTGTATATAAATATATATTCTTTGGGGGGAATTGTGGGAATTGTCCGGGGGGAATCGTCTGGGGGGGGGGGAATTGTCCTGATGCCACATATATATATATATATATATATATATATATATATATATATATATACTCACGGTGATCATAACTGTATCCATAGACAAATCCACACAAACGAAGCCATTCTTGTGCAGGTAGGCCAACGCGTCTGCCAGTTGGATTAGACAATCTACCGGTTCCTTGAGTCCCAGCTGACCCGGGAGGACTTTACGACTGCCCTTGCCACTGCTGAAGACCCTCAAACTGGTCAGACGCGGGGTCATGATAAGAGATGGCAATTTATATGTTGGATCCAAATAAGTACCCAGTATGGTGGGAATGAATTTCCTCTTTTGTTGCTTCATTTTTCTGGAAAAAATTATTTGTTCTTGTGTTATGTTCTATTTAATATATGGTGCCAGCCAAGAAAGAAAAAAATGAAATGAAGTAAGCATAGATAATGTTTAAGACAAATGTTAACTTCTTATTTCTACACACCTCATTTCAATGATTTCCTCACGTACTTGCTTCTCACATGTAGGCCCTTTATATCGTTTTACAGATATTTTGAGGGATTGACCCTTTGGAGAATTTAAGATGGCAGGAAAAACTTCAGTCCAGTTCCCTTTATATGACGTTTGCCCTTTCACAGGTTCGATGTCTGCTTCCACATCTGTCTCGTTATAATCGTGCGAGAAAAGATGTGTAATAGCAAAATCTTCCAGCGCATTGTTAACTCTGGTAAACTTCTTGACGACAGGGTCATAGGTGTCGATGAGCTGCTCCTTAGACCGTTGGTCTTCTTTGATGGTCTGCATGTAATTTCGTGTTGAAGATATAAGCTGTGGAATAGACTCGTGCATCATCTGTAGATGATCCCAGGCCTCTTGGAGTTGAGCATCGACATAGGCCTTTGTAACATCACGCTTAGCCATTATTTTCAAAGCCTCGGATGATCTGTCTCGAAGAAATTCACATTTTTTCTGCTCATATAGGCTTAACATTTGTTTCTCTTTCTGCTTCCTTACATGTTTTTTTAAGTCAACAAAAAGCAATGCCGGTGACGCGAGAAGCATACCCAACGCACCAATGGGTAAAATGATTGGTGAAAATAAACCGAGTGCAATTTTGTCACCTAGGTTTAAGTCTACAATCGACATTTTGTTCACCTCGTTGTCCATTAGGTCTTGCAATTCCATATAGGCTGCCAAATCTGCACTGTCCCTAGAATCGGTTTCTGAGGACCTTTCCAACATGTTTTCAATCATTCGCAGCTCAGATTCAATTAACTGGAATTCTCTAGTGAATTTCTTGAACAAGTCTTTCTTCAGGGTTTCAAAATGTTTTTTCTCCGTTTCCCAAGAGCTGATGGCATCAATGATTCTTTTACAGATGGCATCTTCTATTCTTCCTTCTAAATAGTTCCACCCAATCCCATAAGGAGCTTCGGCATTGGTCCAAGAGGTAACTCGAGCACGGACAGGATCGCTGCTAAGATATCTAGATAAAGAATCAGTAATGGTTTCACATTCTTTATTAAGGTGATCCTCTAGTTTTTTCAAAATATCTTCCGACTTTTTCTCAAGTTTGTCCAACTTTTCCTTCTGTGAGTTGTGCTGAACCTCAAGTTCATCCCTTGTCAAATTGGCAGAATGAAGATACTGCTGGGCACAATCTATGGTACGCTCTACCATATGTTTGCCCCATCTAAAACGAACATAGTATAAATATGTGTAGTATGAAAAATATTTAAACAGCTTCAGGAACTGGCCCAGAATCATATAAATGTAAACGCACATTAGATACAGATATGGCTTAATAACACAATGTTAAATTAGGTGTCGTATTATTACTCAGAAACACGGAATGAGTTCGTTGAAGTTTACTTAAATAAATAAATAAATAAATAAATAAATAATGTAAACTTAAACACACCGGTGCACATGCGCCGTCCTTCTTTGCAAACTCACTGGAATCAGGCCCTTGATGCCTCTGACCAGTCGCCTGTAGTCGTGAGTCATGTACCCAGCCTGACTGTGCTGCCATGCCATTTTAGCAGAGAGGGTAAATATCTGCTTTGATGAATCCATGGGCCAGTTCCAGCCCTCACTCACTGCCAAACGTACATTCTCTAAAGCCTTTTCCCTTGCGTCCTCTGGCACCAGATCCCAGCGGTTGCAGACAAAAATAGCACAGCCAGGGTCAAATATTGGCTCTCCAGCAGAATCCTTCATATCTTGAAGTTGCCGCAGCAATTTTTGGAGCTACAGAAAGAACATAAGATAAAGCAGATGCCATCATATGGTCTTTGCACACTTGAAACCATTTCATTTATTCTCTCATCTTCAAACGAGAAAGAAAAGGCTATCACAAATATTAGATTAAATGGAACGTGATGAAAGTGAGCTGAAATAATTTCTGAAAATTAAAATGTTTAAGTCAATTTAGCGAAGATATTATTCCTGACTGTTGATGGCCGTTTAGGATTTTAAACAGTAAAAAAGGAAAGCAGAAAACTTCTAGTGCACACGTGGGCTGGAATAGTGGTATGAGGCTAGTTTATGAGTATTTTATATAAACTTTGACCAAAAGCCTGATCAAGCCTGCCTCAGCTCATCCCGTTTAGTCGACCAGTCCTCTTTCTTGCCTAGATTGTGCTTGAATTGATCATCGTCACTGATTGGCTACTCTCACTGTAATGCGTGCTGAACGACAGACGACTTCTGAGTATCATTTGCGTTACTGTGTAAATGACCACACTTAATTAAAATATAACGATGTCGTTCATTTAATCCATCCAAGATATTTGTCATTTAAAACTAGTGTCAGGTTAACACCAAATCAAAGCAAGGAGTTAAAACTGTTGTAACTCTTTGATCAAAGCAAGCCTTGCTGACTGGTTTTGTATAAATTGTCGTAAATTCTAGTTCACAGTGTTTATATCCCAGCTATAAAATTGCATGAAGAATAACAAGAATCCGTAGCGAATTCACTTTCACAATTCTCTGAGCTTCAGGTTTCCAAGAGTCCCGTGTAATGCAATAACATCGAAGAGTATAGCCTGAGAGTAATATTGATATGAGGCCGTGTATGAAAGAATTTACAAATTAAAAATTCAAGAATTTAAAGATGCTAGATTCGTGCACATCACTTAAGTCATTTCACAAAAATTGCACCTAAATGCTTAGATTAACTTCTACTTTTACCGATCTCAACGCCTTATAAAAGATATATAAAAGATATATAGTGAGTATGAGGAAAACTAACACGTTTACATGTAGGCGAAGGGGTATACTTCAATATCAATATTAATTACAAACAATATCAACAGCGATTCAACACCGTTGCCTGTCTTTCACACGTTTACACAAACACACTAAGGTCGCGTCGCGATATCTATTTCTTTCCTCCGAGGTAATTTCCCTTTAGAAACTGGTTGTTACCATTTGTTCCTCTGGGAAAAATCTGACAACTGTTCTTTGACTACTCATCTGGTAGAGCATACGATCTTCCCAGTTTGTAGACTTAGGTGGGAAACCACCGCCGATGCCTGATCACACATATTCCTTTGACCTACCGCTGGATGGGATTATGACTGATCTCAGGAAGCTACAGTATCTACCTTTCACACCTCAAGCCTCAAACAAATCTTTAAAATATTATGACCAAGGACTATATCCAATGAAGATCTGTTTTAACAATTTTTATTTTAAAAACCAAACCAACCGGAGAAGCGTTAGTAAAGTCATCGGGAGAAGGAAATGGAAATGGATTGGCCAAGTTTCACCACAAAATTAACCATGTACTGGACACCAGAGGGGCGTAGAAAAAGAATCAGACCTAAGGCCACATGGAGGACTGTTGAAACATGGCTGAAACAACTGGGAGAAAGCCGGAGAACCATTCAACGCCTAGCTCGTGACAGAGCGCAGTGGGAGATCTTTGTCGGTACCCTAGACGCCCGACGGCGTAAAAGGAGATAGTAGTAGTAGCAGCATTGCCAACCTATGACAGCACTAGACAAAACTGACTTGCAACTCCAACTCTGGGTCAAAAACGCACGTAACCCATCATTCTGGTCAGACATGTTACGCAACCATAAGGAAATCAAATCTAATCAGCTTTTGTGTATTAAGAAGGTTATTATTATACTAATACTACCTGATAGTGGCGATAGTAGAGCTATCTCCATATTTCTGACAATTATTACGGTAAACTTTGAAATTAAATCATCTCTAGTTTACGAAATATTCAATGGTTCATTCACTTATTCTTTTCTGAAGATTGCTGATGCAGATTTTGAGTGCTTAATTATTTAACCTCCTTCTAACAAGAGAAAAGGGGAGGGTAGAATGAGTACTTCAATACATTAATTAAAGGGGCTCGCGGTGGTATAAACGACAGACTGTTTTGCACCAGGTGATGGCCCATAACAGGAGGGATAATACTTTAAATGTAGACTCATTGTTGTATGGTTTATATTTGTGCCGACTTATATTTTATTCTCGTTCATATCTTGGAACTATTTCCTTGAATGAAATTTTGCCTGTATAAATTTACTCTGTGACATGAATTAATTAATAAATTCGATTGACCCTACACCCTGCATGTCACACGATCTATGGGAAAAATCTAAGAATACAAAGCGAAAAGTCAATAGTCCTAGCAGTAGTAGTGAAAACTTCCATCTTAGCAGTATTTTGGAGGACGCCAACGCAGTTTTGTACAGAGACACATCTGATAGCCACCCCCACCATGGCCGGTCTACAACAATCAACTCCTATAGCTGCAATACAACGGGAAAATGACAATAAGCTGCCCACAGGGGGGGATGTCACTGGAAAGCAGATGGCAGACATCATGAAAGAATTGAAGGTAATTAAAAACCGTAAAAAAAGCATTATTGAAAATAATACAAAAATGTGTGAACATTTGAAAAAAGATGTCACACGTCTTGTACAAGAAAAAGTGAATGAAATGAAGAAAGATATAGAAGTAACGGTCAGTACTCAAAATTTAAAGCTGAAAGCACTACAGGACAAAACACTAGAACTGACTCACGATTTGCAAGAAAAAGATAGAATTATTGATTCGCTTAAATGTAGAATAGAATCATGTTTGGATAGCCATAAGTCAGGTGTGCAAAATCCAGATAGATACTAGTAGTGCAACAGACCGTGGAACGCACTCGTACATGACGTGCTTGTATGTCGCATACAGCACGGCCGAGTCTTTTGTTGTACGTGCTAGCTGTGGTTTAAGAATAGCTAATGGCAGGCATAGAGATGACGTAACCGAGAGTTTTACCTTTTGAAACTCAAACGGGCTAAGCACAATAGACTATTTGCTAGCTGAATCTAAATCATTCACTAATGTTGTGAAGTTTTTATCAGGCACATTCAACACTTTTTCAGATCATGCACCAATCACGTTTGTCCTGTTTTGTGGGCCTCTAAAACAAAATGCGCTTTTAGATCATGATAAACATAAGACAGGCATGGAACTAGTGTTTCGGTTACATGGATAGAAAATAATGCCAAGTCGATAAATGATGTATTAGCGTAGCGAATAGACAGTTTGTGTAATACAATGGATGCTCAGATAAATGAGCCCGTAGAACTAAACAATCGGGTAGATGAATTTAGTAGCATGCTAAGAGATACTGTGTTGCCTTTTTGCAAAGTAAACAAATTAGATAACCATACCAAAAAGCAGTATGAGGAGAAATATTTACAGACTGACAGTAGAAAATTGTATAAACCATGGTTTGATGAAAATTGTAAAGAAAAGCTTAAAGACTATAAGACCGCTCTACATGAATTCAATATGGAAAAAACACTAGATAAGCATAAAATCCTGTTAGACAAAAAATTAAGTTATAAGAATATTTGCAAACAACTAAAAAGAAAATATAGTCGCTTTGAAGGTGATATGTTAGAAAATACCAGAAAACACAACCCGCGTGTTTTTTATAAGCAGTTCTCACGCAAAAAGAGTTAATTCGGAGCTTTCTATCTATACACTATATGATTATTTTAAGAACACGAAGACTGGTGGAATAGATCGTTACATATGTGAAGTAGACCCCAATGTAGGCTTATATACCGAGACAGTGTTCAATGAATTAGGTAGTCCGTGAGTGACGGTGAGATTATCGGCGCAATTAAAAAATTTAAAGTTAACAAGAGCTGTGCCGAGGACTGTATGATAAATAAAATTTTTATACATTGTAAATATGTTTTACTACCGGCGTTAAGAATTTTGTTTAATTCTGAACTAGATTCGGGGTACTTTCCAGAGAATTGGTGTAAGGGTTGTATTATACCTTTACATAAAAGGGAAATGTTGTCGATCCTTGTAATTATAGTAGGGGAATTACGATAACTAGTTGTTTAGGCAAGCTGTTTACTCCCATACTTAATAGAAGGTTAGGAGCTTGGGATAAGGATAGCAGTGTTACAATCGACGCACAATTTGGATTTAAAGCGGGGCTTAGCACCGTAGATGCTATCTTTGTGCTACAGCACGTGATAAATAGTACTTTAAGGAGTTAGAAGCGACTATATTGTGCGTTCGTGGATTATAAATCCGCTTTCGATTCCATCGATAGGCCAAGTTTGTGGAAGAAATTAAATAAACTTGGTGTCCAAGGTAAATTGCTCCGAATTGTAAAAAATCTTTACAACAATGTAAAGGCTTGTGTTAAGTTTAAAGGTCAGCTATCTGAATATTTCCAAATACACACCGGTTTATTACAAGGAGATATAATATAATTTTGAGTGGATAAATTGTATACGGAATGACCTTGAATTAATGGGTCTGTCATTTACTTTTTATAAAAACATGTCGGATGTTTGTATACTGTCCCTGATGGAACAACGATTGAAGTATCATTTTAGACAAGTACTGACAGGAGAAATATTCACAGCGAGTAAAGGGCTTCTGTATCAGCACCTTGTTGATAATTTCACAGTGCAAATTTACTTGAATAAGCCAATTTCACAGAAAAATAAGGAATTAATCGCAAAATTTTGGCTTTCATCACATAATCTAGCTGTAGAGACTGGCCGATACACAGACACAAATAATAAGTTAAGAATCTGTAAGTTATGCAATTTAAACGATGTAGAGGATGAATTTCGTTTTATCCTTAAATGCCCTCACTATATAACACGATTAGGCAGAAATACCTGTAATTTTGTCGATTTATTGAAACCATATTTTTTTCAAAGTGGGTTAGCATAAGTTAAGCAACAACCAGTAT